TACACATGGTGCGACTTATTGCTTACCCAACTGACCTCCATCAACATCTCAATTTTTCACTCCCTTTATTCCCAATAAACAGTGATTGCTTCTGAGGGTACTAAAATGACAGAACAATGAGATAGCCTTCAGACTTACCTCCCTTATTTTCCTGGATTGCTTTAACTGAGGATACCTTTACCCAGATTTATGCCTCCAGAGCACTTAATAAAAGGAATGCGGTAGAAACTTTATTACACAATGTTTATTCAGGTTTCCAATATTACCACTGATTCTGAGGTTCAGACTTCACAGACTACAGTTTTTCATGTATTACTCCTGTAATCCTCAGAAGTTGATTTTTTGTGTCACACATCCAATAGAAACAGTGTACCCAAAATACAGGATAAGCTGTTGAACTCATTTATACAACGGAATGGACTGTTGTATGTCTGGCGCACCCAGAATACAGATGATGTGAATTACATCTTCTATTTTGCTCCCCAATCTGCCTATTCTAGAACTGACGACTTTTTAGTTATTGGCTTGGAAATGCAGCAGATCGGGGGATTGGAAGTGAACAGGATTACTCTACTGTGTGTGTATGTATGTGTGTGTATGTGTATGTATATATATATTACCCGGCATTCAAAGTATATCCCTGTCTTGTACATCAGTGCAAAACTCCTCGCCAAAAGGTCTTTAAGAGTAATCCTTCTGTTTTATTGTGCACAGGGCCGTCTTTAATATTGATTGGACCCTGGGCAAGCATCTGTTTGGGCCCCCTGGGCATGCAATCACTCCCTCCACCCCAACCTAGAGGCGAAACTAATGTAGAGAGTGCCTTGGTGCAACAAAAAAAAATTCAGGCCTGCCCTGTAGCACAAGAGTAAAGAAAAGATAGATCCCCATCTGTCATACAACTCCTGCGATGCTATGCCAGCTGGGGATCTACCATCCTTGCAGGGTTGTATTTTTGAGCAGTGTTTGTGCAAATGAATGTCAGCATGTTATTGTATAGAGTGTATGTGTGCATGTAGGAGTGTATTTGTATGTACTGTTACCATTGGAATGCAGTGGTGTACTTGTGTGTAGTGTTTGCATTTTAATGCAGGGATGTGTGATTGTTTGTAGTGTTGGCTTTTAAATGCAGGTGTACTTTTGTGTGTAGAGTTGGTGTTTGTATATAATTTTAGCGTTTTAATACAGGAATGTGTTTGCATGTAATGTTTGTATTTGCATGCAGGGGGGTGTTTGGATGTAGTGTTGTCTTTTAAATACATGTGTACATTTGTGTGTAGTATTAGTGTTTCAGCAAACTGGTGTGTTTGTAATGTTTGTGTTTGCAGGGGTCTGTTTGCATGTTGTGTGATTTCTATAACACATATACACATACACATTAACACGCAGATACACACATGCTCACACTGACACATGCTCACACCTTGACACATACTGGCACATACACACACACACTCAGATACACACCCTTTGACACACAGATACAAGCACTTTGATATACACACACTGGCACATACACACACACACTGACACAGGTATATACACACACACTCAGATACACACATACATAAAGGTATAAATGCAGGGGTGTATATGTGTACAGTGCTAGAGATGGAATGTAGGAGTGTATTTGTGTTGGCATTAAAATGCTGGGATGTATGCATTACCACACACTCAGATGCACACTTACACACACACTGAAACACACACACAGGTGCACATACAGGTGTATGAGGTATACATACACACAGAAACACTGACACACAGACAAACACAGCCAGATACACACAAGGACATAAACACAGCCAGATACACACACATATATATGTGTACATTTACATATTTTAATCTCTGCCTTCTAGCAGCTCTTGGACAGCAACTCCCAAAGTAATGTAGGTGACTATAGTGTTCCTTTAAGCTGTTGTGCAACCACATGCTATTGCTAGGAAGTTAAAATTATTCCCGCGCTCAAAGTATGTGTTAATGTAGTTGAATAGTAGACTTGTGCATGGCAAGAAAATTCAGCTCAGCCAAACCACTTACTAGAAACATTTTGGGACACCTGAATTACAGGCGGATGTCAGTAATACAAGGATAAAAGCCAAGGTCAGGATCACAGAAATCATGAACAGTCAGACAAGCCAAAGTCTGATATCAGAAAATTAAAAAAACCACTCAATAGCTACAAAGCGTGCATCATCATTAATTGACAGAGTGACAATTAATATAAATAATAGCATGGGGAAACATTGCACATCATCAATAACACGAACGACACACCACATATGCTAAACGCTAGATACTTTTCAATGTTGCGCATACACCATACTGTAGAACAGACATCACAGCTTCTATACTCTTAACCAAACGGCACCGTGAGGGACCATGTATTGGTACACAAGCCCTCCCATGAGAAGGACTGTCGTCAAGAGGAAATGCAACATCAGGTGGAGTAGAGGGCAGGTAAATAACATTAATATAGGCGTTGAGAGGGGAGAGCCTTTCTGATCTGTTTATTATGACGATCGTCATAGGCATTAACATAGTGATCACAAAATACAAGTCAGGTATTGGTTGCCAGAGTACCCAAAATGCAAAAAAATTGGTAAATAACAAGGTTTTCCTATCGTGCCTCTTGACCTCCCACAATAGCTAAAACAGGGAAAATACAGGAATAAGGGCATTGCAACAGAATCTAATGTGCACCAAACAGTACTTTTTATATAACGATCAAGTTTTCACAGCAAATTTCTCGGTTACAACCCTTTTCAGGGTTGTCCTTTTTATTAAGGACAAGATGCATTGAAAAAGGTTTTGCTGTGACACTTGGTCCTTCTATAAAAGTGTGGTAGCACATCTAATTCTGTTGTGCTGCCCTCATTCTTGCATTTATTTTGGCAATAATATAGTGTGTGAGGTGTTTCCAGGCACACCATAATGAAGCCACGGGAGATAAAGGGCATAAACTATTTGTGGTGGATAAACACAGCTTATTTATTTGTGAGAAATTTATTTAGTTAATTCTTGGGCTGTCTCAAGTTCATAACTCCCATTATAGGGAGGGAGGCATGAAGGGGAGAGGGTAGGTATACCTATGCCAGTGGAGCCACTTGTGCCACTGTTTAAGCCCCAAATGGGTAGCTTGTAAAAATTTATTCCCATATGCAAGGTGGGTGGGGCCACTCAAATAGAAGGTGGGGCATCAACTCTGACTGGCACTACTTGGGCCAGAACATGAACAGAGAGCTTTTTAAGTGCTCTGGGCATGGACTTAATACCCTGACTACAGTTTACAAAGCACAAGCACATCTTTGATGCACTCCTGCTATGGTGACAGTGTACACCAGGAAACAAACTGGAAATGGCAGTGCCAAAGCCTAAAACTGGCATGGTCCCACCAAATACGGAACAATAGGGAGTTATGCAGCTTTGTATTTCCATGGATCCAACCAACATAGAGAGAAAATGGCTGTCCCACACCTTCCAATAGTCACATTGCATGTCATACAAGTGTAACAGAGTATGAAGGGAACTCAGTAGAGCTCTCCCACCCGATGTGCAAACTTGTCACAGGTAGTGAACTACAAGCTATTTTTAAGTGATACAGACAACATGAATATGACAAGATTCTTTTTTTTTTTATTATTCCTTATTTTAGAAAGCAGGATAAACTATTTCACAAATGCATACAGTTGCTTATACACAATAGGTTTTGTTGAATTGCTTCACAGCACCACAAGGTTGGTTATAAAGGCATATCCCTACAGTACATACTTACAGTAATGTTTGCTTTAACAAAGTGCTTTATCTGTCAGCAGCCAAAAACTATTGGCTGTCCAAAGATGTTTAAATAACAAAACCCTCTTGTTATAAGAGGTAGAAAACTAAAGGTGAAAAGTAAGCAAAAAAGAAAGAGGGCGGATAAGAAGGGGGTAAAAGAAAAAAGGAGATCACTGCTCAGGAGTACAATTTTCCTAGTGGGATTCCAGTTTCTATGTCCGTTTTTCATACTCCTCCCAAAGCTCCACACTTTCTCAAATCTTGCTGTTAAATTCCACCTGAGCTGTAAGTCTGTCCATTAAGTGACTGTCTTTTATTTTTATGATTATGTTGTCTTTTGTGGGTGTGGCGGAACCAACCTCGCTACTGGCCACTGGAGGAGCCTGGTCGCCCACCTCCTGCCACTGGACTATGGCCCCATGTTTAACACTGTTCTTTTTCCCTGCAGAAAGGCTGGTTCATGCCTTTCTGCGGAGTGTTAAAGTCACGAACACCGCTGAGCCGCCGACCTCCCTTCTCCTACCTGCAGTCAATTATCCGAACAATGGTCCATTCGGTACTTTACTGTTTAAACCATGCTACCCCAGATAGCTATGCCATGGAGCCCAGCTGTATACTGAAAGACTGTATGAAAGATATATGTATGGCTCCATGGCAATTGAACTGTATGTATATGATCTGAGCGCCATCCAGCAGTAATGTGCGCTCAGATCTAAGCTATCTGGGGATAGGTAGAATGTGTATGTTCTATGTGATAAATGTAACAGTATGTAATTTTATGTCTTTTATTTTCCACTCCTAATTTAGAAATGGATGACCCTGTTCTGCTAAAGGAATGGGAGGAAGCAGCAGATAGCTGCTCAAAAAAGTTCATGGATATCCTACATAGGTTCGAATCAGAGAGGCTTAAAACTGTAAATGAAAAAGTTAAGACAGCAATAGAGGATATTCAGAGCTGTAGAGATGACCCTTCGTTTATAGTACAAGAACAGAGACTACAACAAAATCTCAACAAATATCAAAATACTATAAAAAGTCGTAAGCATGGCAAATTTGTGAGAGACAATGATGATTATAGAAAAGGGAAGGTGTATAGACGTTTTAAAAAAACTACAAGGACAGACTCAGATCACTATGTAACATCAGATTATGAAACGTCAGACACGGATAATGAACAGACCCCGGCCCCTACTGGAAACTGGAATCCACAAACCAGTAAGGGAATCCTTAAAAAGGGTGTATCTTTTCCTTTTTTAGGGCAAACCCCCCGAGAGGGGGAAACACAAACTCACAGACAAACCCGGAACAGGGGAAGGGCACGCAGACGATATCAAGTAAAGATATTAGAGTGGTAAATCTGTCAGATGTTACTCTTACTTCGGTACAGATAAAAGTTTTGATGAGAGGCCTTTCCTTTGTTCCAATCCCTCCATTCAATCATTTTGAATGGATTAAAGATGTTAATTTGTTTGGCAGACGATTGGCCCTACACAAGTTTTTCAAAATAAAGGATGAGAAAAAGGCCAAAGAGTTAGGTTTTAACTCAAGAGAATACCAATGTTTACAGGAATTGGTCTCCCTGTTAGAGGACAATGACAGTCACTCTACAACTCCTTATACTGATCTTCGCTTAAGGAGTGAATTTACACCTAATTTTAGGGACTTTAAAAACATTGATATGTTTGTGGACTCCACCACCAATATGATCAAAAAAATCAATACTGATATGCTCTCAGTGAGACCTAAAGGTAATCTATCTAGGACAGAATGGAAAGCTCTTTGTAATCTCAGGGACAATGATAACATTATAATCAAACCCGCAGATAAAGGCGGCAACATCGTCCTAATGAATAGACTACAATATATATAAACAGCAGAAAATATCCTCCATGACAACAAGACCTATAGAATACTTACCTCTGATCCCTCATCAAAATATCAAAGAGAGTATCAGACTTCCTAAATAAAGCCTTCGATCAGGGTATACTGACAAAAGAGGAGTATGGGAGTATTTTCGGAAAAAATCCAACAATCTCCACATTCTACTGTCTCCCTAAAATCCATAAACAATATGAAATATTCACAACAAGACAAATAGTATCAGGGTCCATTAGCTTTACGAGCAAGGGGAGCGTATATGTGGACAAAATTTTACGTCCCTATGTGGAGGCACTGCCTTCGTACTTTAAAGACACTAAGGATACTCTGAAATGTTTGACATCATTGAAAGTACCAAATGGAGCAACACTCTGTAGTTTGGATGTGGAGGCTTTGTATTCTTCCATACCGCATTAAAATGGTTTAGACCATGCTGAATACTTTCTCAAGAAGAGAGGATCAGAACATAACACTCATACAACTTTCGTTCTGGACCTACTATATTTTATTCTAACTCATAACTTTTTCCTCTTCCAAAACAAATACTATCACCAGGTGCAGGGGACTGCTATGGGGACATCTTGTGCCCCAGCTTATGCCAACCTGCACCTGGGGTGGTGGGAGAGTGAGATTGTCTTTTCAGAACAAAATAAAAAGTACATTGATTACATCTATCTATGGAAAAAGTACATAGATGATATTCTCATAATATGGACAGGTACCAGAGAATACTTTGAAGACTTTGTAGGAATACTTAATGTGAACAATATCAACTTAAAATTCACTATAGAGTTCGGTGACCAAGTACTTCATTTTTTGAATTGTACCTTTATGATAACTGAGAGTCTGGAGATTAAATCCACCCTTTATCGTAAACCTACGTCAACAAATAACATGCTCCGATGGGAAAGTTACCATCCGATTCCCTTAAAAAGGGGCATTCCAGTGGGTCAATATTTAAGACTGAGAAGAAATTGTTCATCAATTGACTACTTTAAATGCAAGGCCATAGAATTAAGGCAAAGATTTAGAGAAAGAGGATACCCAAATAGATGCTTAAAGCAGGCCTATCAAAGAGCACTAAGTCGTGATCGTGAAACTCTGTTACAAAATGAGACCAAACCAGAAACTACCAAACAAATTAGATGTATAGCTAATTATGATGCAGGCTGGGAAGAAGCTAAAAAAATCCTGGGCAGGTTTGGGCCACTATTGAAACAGGACCCACACCTAAGAGACACCATACCATCTAAGGTATCTATCACCGCCAGAAGAGGCAAAAATATAAAGGAAATGCTAGTACCCAGCTACTTCTCTACATCTAAGATGACAGTAAACAGTTGGATCACAGTTAATGGCACATATCAATGTGGGAGATGTGTGGCATGCTGTTTCATTGCTAAAGGATCAAAAACACTTATGGACTCCTCAAACACCATTGAAATCCCCATAAGACAGTTCTTTAACTGCAACACCTCTGGAGTGATCTATTTGTTGACATGCAAATGGGGCATGGAGCAAGACTATACGCCCACTGAAGAGACGAATAATGGAACATATCCATTCGGTGACCTCAAATAGAGATACATCAGTCGCGAGGCATGTCAGATCCCATCATATGGACACACCACAATGTTTAAAATTTGCGGGAATTGAAAGGATTCAAATGGGTAGAAGGGGGGAGATTTGGACCAAACCCTCAAAAGGAGGGAATGTTATTGGATCCATAAACTTGACACCCTATCACCTAAGGGTCTAAATGAGGGTTTCACATTTACCCCTTTTATTGATTGACCATAATGAGCTAATACTCTGTATTTGTAAATATATATATATGTGTGTTGGTTTGTTTGCACGTATTTTTTCTAATCTTTATAAACACCTATGACGAATATAGGTTTAAAGCATTACAGTACTGATCTTTACCAACACCAATATTCCATTAAATTAATAAAATTCAGTCATGGAAATGTTTATATACTGATTTACAATCTTGATTAGTTGGTACTATACCTTTAAATGATCTAGGTATGGATATAAATATAAATTAAAAAAAGAGTTTAGATTCAATAGCACCATGAGGTGCATTTACATTGTAAATAATAAGTATATATAGGGACTTCAGTGTTATGTAAGATAGTTTTAAAAGGGTAAGCTATTCCTTTAAAAACACCATAATATAATTATCATTAGCCACCTATAACAACAAATCCATGTTTAAAAATATTTAATTAATCTCATTATTTACGTGGTGACTCTGTGAGTGCCCCCGTTATTATACCGATCATCGCTGGTATCCGTGCAAAGTATAAACAATATAGAAACGCCTTCCTGGGCGGGACCTAGGTGTAACTAGGATTTAATTCATATACTCCCTAGATCACGCCCAATGGGCGGGCTGAAAATGACTGACAGGATCAGTCTATAATTATTCACGCAGGTTCCTATGATTTGAGCGCAAGGGAGACACACATACCGGCGCTCCGGATTGGACAAAGGGGCTGCAACACATGATATTTAAACGGTAATAGATTAGTCTTACATTTACCTTTGACAAAGGCGCTTGAGTAGCGCCGAAACGTACGTTAGGTCCTATGCTTTTTTTCTTTTAATCACTGCACGGTTGTTTGTGCTCACGGGGGTGTGGGGGAGCAATGGCATGGAGGACTGTATGGAGTATTAGTATCTAGATAGAACAGTTAGATTTTTTAGAGGATCACAATTTAGCTATATTCAGAGTTAGCTCTCCCTTGTATTGATACATTCTAACCAACCAAGGTTCCTTTCTCAGTTATCTTTTCGGATACTTTAGCAAAGGACACTCTCTCTTTTTTTTTATCCATTTCTATTTAGATACTTTTTTTCAAGTTTCCAGCATTATACCTTAGAGATGTCTATTGCATCTATTATATCCTCAAGATCCAGCTTTAATCCTCTATTAGGATAGATTTTTCCTTATTAGCCTATAGACTATATGAACTCTTCTTTCCATATTTTCAATCAGTATATAAGTTTATCCTAATTTTCTATCTATATACTTCCGCTCCTATATGAGACCAGGATCCCACCTGTGGTTTTTATTAGATGTGATTTATTTTATACAAGTTTAATTTTCCTTTTGTTTTATTTGGGGAATGTATACCTTATAATAAAGGTGTTTTTTATTTCAACCCTCTTTGGTGCTCCCAGGCTTGTTTTGCTAGGGATCACCTTTAGTGTAAGTCTTTGCTCTATATTTAAGGGTTACCCCCTAGAAAGGGTTTGTGGACACACTATAGATCCCGTTAATCGGGATTCTGATATTTCTGTTTATTCAGGAGCCAAGCCAAAGTTCAAGGGAACAGAGATCAGAATAGTCAGTAAGAAAGCCAAGGTCAAATTACACAAGAAACCATACCAGAAATAATTAATAAATAAATAACCGTACTCTAATAATTACAGACCCGGCCGCTGTGTGAAGGGAGGAGTGGTTGTCAGTGGATAGCAGGCATTGCAGGAGGAGGTACGAGATTGGCAGCATTCCCATTACCACGTTGGAATGCTGCCACATCAAGATGCACCCACCGGGTCCCAGTCAGCTTCCGGGCGGGCGCCTAGAGACAGGATGCCCTTGCGATGTGAGAATGCCACCACGATGAGACGGCGTAACATATACTTGCTTACCTCTCCCAGGGCCTCCTCCCTCTGGAAGTGTCTGACTGATCTAAGTTCCTATAGTTTCTCTGGTATAGGGTTCTGTTTATGTTGGGCTTCTGCTTTGCAGAGAGCTTTCTAAAGTTGAAACAATCTTTATTTATTTATTTTCTATATGTAGCTATCTTGATAAGTGATCCACAGATGACTGCCTTGTGAGCTGCCCATACCATGGTTGATGACATACTAGGGGTGAAGTTGGTTGTGAAACAGTCTTTTATTTTCTGCTTAATCTGTTCCACTAATGCCTTGTCGCTAAGAAGATAATTATTTAGACTTAAACATGATTGGGATGTCAGCATGGTCTGACCAGGAGATCAAATTGATCTCTAAGGTCCCCAAATTCTTGCCAGAAGGCATTATCAGCTACTTACAGAGCATATACATTAATGAGGTGATATGTAGTGGATGGTACCATCCCCAAACTGCTATGTATCTACCTTCTTTGTCTGTCTTTACACATGGTATCTGGAACGAGCATCGTTTATGGAATAAGATCTCAACTCCGTTCCTCTTTGCTATGGATCTGAAAGCAAGTGTGGTAAATGAGTCTCTTGGAGGAAAGCAATATCCGTCTTTTGTCTTTTAACTTCCCTAAGAAGTCTGCACTTGTTGGGGACATTATAACCATTAACGGTCCGAAATGTAATTTTAAGTTTCATGTTGTAGGTGTAAGTATAATGTTAGTGTTTGTTTGTGGACTTATGATTTCCTGTCCATGGATCGTGAGATGTGTGGTCCGCCAATGTTCGGCTGTCTCACGTAACCTCTTTGTGTATCGTCATCTCAGCAGTCACCCCTTATTCTGGTAGAGTTTGTCGAGCATAGGGGAATAAAAAGTAGGATGAGATAGAAAGGGTAGTAACTGAAATAAAAAATAGGATAAAGCTGTAAATGCCAACATAATGCCAGGCTTATCAAATGCCAGACAAATTGGCGGCTGACCCTTCTTTGCCCCTAAGTGGAAATTCACTTGCGATGAGAGAAGCTGCAGCCGCCAAGCTCCACGCCCAAGACCATTTACACCTGTGTCTCCCACCTGGCTCCCTGCCCTCTCCCTGGAAACAGCAGTCATTCCCTGCCTCTCATGCCTCATCTTATTTTGTGTAACCCACCATCACATACAGGAACCAGTCTCCTCCACCCACCATGATCTGCACTCCATCAGGGTGATTGCCTACAGAAAGGTGCACCTAGGAAAGTTAGTAGTCTCGGTCTAATAACTAAGGAGTGGGCTAGATGTAGTCTATATAGTTAGGGGTTGTGTCTTCGGCACAGTAGATGTTAGAATTGCGTTGTCAATTGGTAACATTATTGACCGTATATGGTCCCCTTTCAATTTTCATGGTTGGTCATTGTCGTGTTTGTGCTGTCTATCTTGTTACTTGTTAGTTATTTATGTGGTTCTGTAAAGATGTATCCCCTTGTGCCACTTTTGGTTGTTGTATCTCTATAGGTTTTCCTATCTCTTCCACTCTTCCTAGTTATCTACCCACTTCCCCCTCCCCCTCTAATCAAAGTCATGGATTGTGCATCGTTAGGTGATCTTGTGTGTGGCCTATGTCTCTGTATTCAGTTTGGGTGTAGACCCTATAAAAACCTGCTGCAGTTATGGGTAGGTGTTTTGAGTATGGCCAGCCTCCTGTGGATTGCCTGTTTCGTGGTGCTGCACACCTAATTCCCCTCCAAGAGTCATTTTTTCAGCCCTTGGACATAAAGCTTGTTTTGTCCTGGTCATAAAGCATTTTACAGCAATAGATTTAGCTCTTTCCCCCTATTGGGTGGTCTGCGTGCCTGTGACATAGGTTCAGTGTCCAAGTAGGGCTGCAAAACAAAATTAAAAAAAACACCAAAATCTGCTCAAAATCTTTCTTTGGTGAAGTAGCTACAGCTTATGAGTTTCTAGGGCATTTGCTGTCTTGTCATCATTATGGTTCCATAGGTTCCATAAACATTGGTTTGGGGTATGCAGCATGATCGGTCCCTCTCTTCACTGGGCGGTGGGTGTCTGGTTAGCGGTCGTATACAGCAGTCTCAGTTAAGTCCATGTGATACTGGTCTTGGGGTACAGTGGCGGCGTTGAAGTCGACTTTTCTAGTTTTTTTTCATTTTGAATCATCCATTGAAAGAGAAGCACTCCCATCTCTGTTGTTCCTGTCTCCGGTGCAATGAATCCCTCTGGGATTTCTACCAGCAGAGCTCACAAGAACTGCTTTAGGTCACAATGCAGCATGAGAACCTTCGGACGTGGACCTTTAAAAACCAACATCTTAAAAGGGAAACCACAAGCAAATCTCAGGTCATTAGTTTTAAAAAGGTTGGTTACTGGTTTCCATTCTCTTCTTCTCACCAACGTAGACAGAGCAACGTCTTGATTTATTTGCAGGTTGATTGCATTATGTACATAAGGAGTATGCTTTTGCATGAGAACTGCTTTTGTGGTATAGTAATGGAAATGCAAGATAACCTCTCTGGCTGGGCTTCCCTTTGGTCCTTTGGCTCTAAGGGATCTGTGTATCTTGTCAATATGCTAGTATTGTTCTGGCAGACTTTGTTTAAAGCACCCCAGTAGGACCGTTTCCAGATCTGAGTATAGGACAGTCTCAGGCAATCCTCTGATCTGTTCGTATGTTCCAGGTTCATTTCCACATCATTGAGTCTGGTCAATAAAGTGTTAGTAAGGGTAGTCTCCATTGTGAGCCATTACTATGGACTCCATGTGCCTTTCTAGTGTTTTGGTTCAGGTCCCCACTGCTTGGATCTCCACCATTGCCTCCCTCACGTCGATCCAGATGAAGAAGAGCAGCCTGTGCTATCTGTGCGCTTGTGGAGAAGTCCTATAGAACAGGAGCATGGTGGCAACCAAGTGGGTATAAGTGGTTGAGGGCATGAGACAAAATGTGAGGACAAAAAGTGAGTGGAGTGACAGGAGTCCACCAAGGGATGGTTTGGAAAGGTGGTTGAGGATTAAATCATAGCTTGGCGTATGACATAAGGAAGAGGGACTCCTGTCATGCCATCCTAGGTTAGTGGCATGGTGTCCCCAACAAGTTTGCCAACAGTACAGAGTGAGGGCATCATTAGATGTGCTTCAGCTGCACAAAGTACTCTTGGGACATTGTGCCCATTGGTAGATGAGTAATGCTAAAGATTGACTATTAAATCTTGTAAAAAAATAAGGTGCTGGCTTATATATCACCAGATAAAAAAACAAAACAAAAAAAACACGCAAACCTTTCATGTATAGCAAATAAATGTATACATGTGAAGTATTTAGGAGTATTATTATTATTGCCATTTATACAGCGCCAACAGATTTTGTAGCGCTTTACAATATTATAAGAGGGGGGGATTTAGCTATAAATAGGACAATTACAAGAAAACTTACAGGAACAATAGGTTGAAGAGGACCCTGCTCAAACAAGCTTACAGTCTATAGGAGATGGGGTGTAAAACACAACAGGACAGGAAAAAGACATCATGGAGTGAAGCAGAGCTGGAGGAGAGAGAAGAGTGCTGCCCTTTAGGAGAGAGCAAGAGACAGGTATGTGAAGTAGAGGTTACTCTGGGATGCCATAAGCTTTTCTAAAAAGATAGGTTTTAAGGCACTTTTTAAACGATTGAAGACTAGGGGAGAGTCTGATGGCGGTAGGCAGGCTGTTGCATAGGAAGGGAGCCGCCCGCGAGAAGTCCTGCAAGTGTGAGTTGAGTGTATGGGTGTAGTGGACAGGAGAAGGTCATGGGCAGAGCGGAGAGACCGAGGAGGCATACCTATGGATCTGTGAAGAGATATAAGAGGGGCTAGAATTGGTCAATGCTTTATAGGTATGGGTTAGCAGGAAGCCAACACAGGAAGCCAATGTAAGGACTGACAAAGGGGTTAGGTGTAAAAGGACCAACTAGAGAGGAAAATCAGTTTGGGCAGACACTTTAAAAACATGTCTATATACAAATTTTATCTGTTTTTTTTTTACATCCTATTTATAACAATGTGTAATTTTCACATTGACTAGATATTTTGGAGTTATTTTAAACTATTTTAAAGTATTTTTATTTTATATAGATATGTTTTCAAAGTGTGCTCCCAAACATTTTACATGAACACATTTATTTGGTATACATGAAAGGTTTGCTTTTTTTTTTTTGTAATCTGGTGAGGTGCTGCTATTCTAATTACGCTTTTTTTGTTTTAAGCACCACAGAATAATCTTGTAAAACCTATTAGAGCATTCAGGCAATGGCAAACTGAGTGTTTCGGTATGGCTGAATGGTTATCGCTTCTTAAAACCAGCCTGAACTGTATTCACACCAGTTTGTGCCAGTCTGGAGTGCATTCACACAAGGCTGAAACTCCACTTTTTTGGGTGGCCCCATTTCCAATCAGCCTCTTCAACCTATTGTTCCCGTAAGTTTTTTGTAATTGTCCTATTTGTAGTTAAATCCCCTCTCATAATATTGTAAAGCGCTACGGAATCTGTTGGCGCTATATAAATGGCAATAATAATAATAGCCTGCTACCTCGAATTGACACCTTGCAATGTTGGAATATATGAAATAGAGGTATGAGGTTGACAGAGGTATTGTGTGCAATTCATGTGAAAGAGGAACCTGAGGCTTAGGCTTCAAATTGATGTCAATGGAGGTAGAGAAGCACGGCAAATACAATGAGATTAGTGGCATTAGTATGGCAGTGAAAGGGGTAATGCCATGGACTGAGGAAAAGGAAATGCAGTAAGGGGCATCATATACCAAATATGTCCCCCAATGTAATAAGCTGCACTCCAAATGATAAAACTGGGGCTAAAATGGCTGATATGGAAACTAAATTCAAATACAGCTTAGTTGTGATGACATCTTAGTTGCTAATTTGCCAGTCTACAACTCTCTTGACGGATAGTGTGCCTCTGTCAAAACGTGTTTCTCACCCCCCACACTCCGTCATGGCCACCACAGTCCTGATAGACAATCATTGAAGTAAATCACTGGACGCAAGCACTCCCTTTCACCGCGCAGCTGTCACTGTTGCTATAGTAACAGCATTGCCCCTCACTCACTGTTTCCGAACGTGTAATACAGATCCCGCCTTTCTACATCCTGATTGGCTGGCACGTTCTGACACTTTCACTTCCGGGTTCCAGGCGAGGCTTCTGTCAGGATAATTATAAGTGGGTTGGATTGTCTCCTGCGCTGCTTTTTTTTTTTTTTTTAATTTTAAATTTAAACCTTTGTATTACAGCCTAAAACATGGCCTTTGTCTTTATACTATGGCGGTAGTGACCAGTAATTACTATTTTATTTTATAGTTCTCTGTGTTACTTCTTTGTGATTGTTTACAGTTTATTGAGAGCTTTCATTTCACGTGACAGCACTCTCAGAAATTGTTATTGTTCTGCCCTGGTGCTATTATTAAGGGTATTTCTAGTCCATTGGCCACGATGTATTATGTTTCTGCACTCTATGGGTATTACATTATGTGTGATAGGTTACTAACTCTGCTGCCTGTATTTCCCGTCTGATGCTTCCTGAATTTCTAAGGCATTAATAGCTTATTTTCTCTTTTTTATTTGTCTCAGACAGTGCTATTATTTATTGTTCCGAGCTGTCCTTGATTGCCCTGTCTGTACATCGCATGTCTTGCCCATACTCATGCTACAGTTAGTCATCATGAGTAACACTACAGATTCCGGATCAAGTAATGTAGCTGCTGATTCAATGGGAGGAATTGTGCTGGTGCCATTCTTCCTTATCACTGTAGTGGGTGTCGTAGTGGCTGTGGTGAGTGATACATCTTTATTTTTACGTTACGCAATCTTTATCCGACAAGACATTACCTTATTTGAAAGGAATACTATAGTGCTAGGAATACAAAGATTGATTCCTAGCATTATAAATCCCTCTGCGCCAACCCTCCCTCCCCCCCACTCCCTGCACTGTAAGTGATAATAATCCCTTACTATACTTACTCGATTCCAGCGCTGATTTTACTCCATCTCAGAAACTGCAATAGTATTGCAGGGTTAAGGGGACAGACATTGCATCCAGACCTCTTCAATAAGATGAAGTGGTCTTGGTGCATATGATGTCCCTTTTAAAGAGACCAGTAACATGTGTGATCAACACGCTATTTTCTTGCTTTGCTTGATCAAGGGGAAATACAGCACTGTGAAATCGTAACACTCATTAGTGATTTGCGCTGATTAAATAATGCTGATGTCACAGCTAAAGCAGAATTACATCTAGCACACTTATCAAAACATCTATTTAATTCAAACAACAATCAAAACCTGATTTTAATTGACTCCTGTTTTTTCAGTACTAATTGTGGCCGATCCATAAATGTTTTCAAGATGGTCATTAACTGAAATGTGGATTATCAGGAATTCAAAATTATTTTTTAAAATTTTAGACCATAATTGCCTAATTACACACATTTTGCAGTTAGCTTTGTTTTCAGTTTTAACTGTATTGGCCTTTTAATATGAAATGCATGTTGAATTCTTGGCCATTCACATTTTAGTGAATAACTTTGTGGATATGTTTCACTTTGTGCTTTATCCCATCCAGTTTAGATCACACATGTTATGAATGTAGCAATACATAATCAAAGCTCACTGAACAAATACATGGATCGCTTTCGTATAGTTGGTAACTGACTTTGCAGGCATTAGCGTCCGCACATTTAGGAGTCTGCAGATTTAAGTAGTAGTAGTTGTTGTTTTCAGCTGCTGTCCTTGAAGGAACACTATAGCGTTAGGAATACAAATGTGTATTCCTAGCACAATACTGCCCTAGTAAACTTTTTAATTTTACTTACCTTTTCTACCTTGCAGCCCTGGTCTCGTGGTGATGCTCTGCCTCTTTGGCTGAGATCATCGAAATTGATGATCTCCGACAATGATTTGTATTGACCCCAAATATACTTGTATAATGCTCTCATAGTCCCTCTGAGGCACTGTTTTTTCTAACCTAAAGAGATTTAAATTTGTTCCCCTTTCGTCATAACAAAAATGTTCCATTCCTTTTTTTAAATGTGTTGGCTGCCTCTGCACTAGTGCCATAATATCATTCCTTAGAACAGGTGTCCAAAATTGCACAGAATATGAGAGAGAGAGGGGAAAAAAAACAAGCGAACGTGGGGGGGAGGTGAGAGTCCACTAAGGGAGGGGGATGTGAGGAGAACGTGGGGGGAGAGACCACGGAGGGAGGGGGTGGTGGAGAGACCACGGAGGGAGTGTGGGAGGCTAAGAGGAGAGACCACGGTGGGAGGGTAAGAGGAGAGACAACTAAGGGTGGGGGGGACTTTGGAGAGACAACTAATCGAAAGGGGGGAAGAGGAGAGACGACTAATGGAAAGAGGGGAGAAGAATCCCGTACAAGTGGGGCTTCCTCTTTAGTCTTCAGGCCCGGGTGGACAACCTGTGACATGTGCTCAGATGGCCAAATGATATTCCCCGGTTTCTCCGGAGCGCCAGCCTCCCTCATGTCGCCATCCCGAATTGGATCCTGGGGGGCCCGCCGGCAAGAGCTGTGGGCCCATCGGAAGCAGCACATAACCTTCTCCCGGAACAGGAGCCAAAACGCCGCAGAGGAGGGCCGAATGGCCCTGAAGAGTAGCAGCTGTCTGCCGGTCCCGGTCGGCGGGCACCCGGGGGGCCGCCGGGACTCCCATCGGACCTTTGGCTCCATTATGGCGGGATCAATGGCGGCCCGGTCGTGAAATCTGGACCTCCCTGGCCGGAGTATGTACTGTGGTGGACAGGTCATCGTGGAAGTTAGCTAATTGGCGGGGGGGCCAGCAGCTAGGTGGGGTGGGAAGGCTCCACGGGTTTGGGGGTTTTATTGTTGGGGTTATCGGGAGGGATCCACTGGGCTGGACTGGGCCTGTGGGACTGCAGGGACCGGTGGGGACCGGCGGACGATGGTGGTGCTTGGGGACATGTGCTGCTGTCTTCTTTTTTTTTTTTCTTTTCTTTTTGTGGGGAGGGTGGTGGGGGGACGACAGTGGGTGGTTTTGCCTAGCTAGGCTGCTCGGATGGGGGTTTGCAGAGGGGGAGGCTCCAACGTCCAGCGTCTCTCTCACTTAATTTGCATATTCGGGAGCGGGGCAAGGGTCAACCACGGAGGATGCTCCCGCAGGGACTGGGGGATTCTGAGCTGGGAGCAAGGGGGGGGTCTCTGGTCGGAGGCGGGGTGGGCCTGGTGTGAGGTGGGGGTGTGCAAGGGGGTGCCAGACGGAGGGGCAGGGGGAACGGGGTGTAGCGGTTTCTCCCAGGGGCATAGTCTCTCGGGGGGGATGGAGAGACCCACACCACGGTAAATTCTCTGACCAGGGGGATGCCACTTGGAGGCTCACGCTGGGGGTCCCCTTGCCGCCCCTATAGGCCCCCACCCCATGAGATCTTGTCCCAAACAGTGGGAGGCCCCACGCCGCGTGCCTGCAGGCCCCAGGCGTGAGATACGAATCCCACTTTTACACCTGCCCAGAGTCTCCGGTAGGGGGAGATGGAGTTCACTGGGAACCCGGTGCCTAGAGGCGAACTGCAGAGGGTTGCTGGGGAGAGTCCTTACGGACAAAATTAGTCCTATCAAGAGTGGGAGGGGTGGGGACCTTTGACAAGTTGATGGCCCTCTTTGGATGCGGGCTAATGCCTCGGGGGGGGTTATGTGCATACAGACGCCCCGCGGGTTTCTGTGGGAGACGGTTCACATAGTTTTCCTCAGGTTATCTTTACCCTAGCAACTGGATACTCGCATACATGACACACAGGGAGGGTACTGACGGAAACTGGGACGGTTCCGACCACCACATGTTACGGTGACGTCAATACAGTAAGTGGCCTTATTGTTCCCCACTGTGACAGACCCTCATTGTAAATAGAGCCGGGGTTCCTCACGCGGGCATATTATCCCCGGGGGAGGGACACATACTCCCGGCTAAGGGTCGACGTTGCCCCCGGAGGGCGGTGAGACTACTTCCCACGACTACTAGTAATAGACCTTCCCACTTTTTCCCACGCCCCACACTTCCCCCTGTGCCGTGGCGGGGTCGCCCCATCGACGCAGTGATGGCTCCCGGTCGGGGCTTCGTTCCGGCGTGGCCTAACAATGTACAAGGGCTTAACACGCCCGAAAAATGATCACATTTGCTAAGGCAGCTCTGGGCCTTTCCAACATTTGGCGTCCCAGATGGATCCGATGGGGAGGTACCTATTCCTTATTCTGGCCTATACTGCCCAAATAGGGAGCAACACACCTTCCTATCCCGGACGCTTGCCAAATTAGAGAGATTGAGGGCACTTACCTTAAACTTGTTGAGGCACGTAGGGAAAGGAAAACTATTATGTCGCAGGGGCTGCTGCTCACCGCGAGGAAGGCCGCTAGGTACTATTACGAACACTCCAATAAGTGCGGGAGGCTATTAGCACGGATGCTCCGAGAGAAGCGCAGGATGCAACATGTCCATAAAATACGCACGGGGGGGGGACACATTACACGCCTCCCAAATGGCATACTGACCGCGTTTCAGGAGTACTACGCGGCACTATATGACCAAACACAACGCCGCATGGCATTGGAGGAACGACGACACAAGGAGAGGATTGTAGCGTACCTACAAACCCATGTTGCACGCAGACTCTCCCCGGAGCAGGAGGTGGACCTGGAGGTACCTTTGACGGTGGAGGAACTTTCGGGAGCGTTGAAGTCCACCAAGGCTCATAGGGCGCCGGGGCCGGACGGCTTACCAGCCTCTTATATACGTGCCTTCAGGGATATCCTCCTGCCCCACCTGGTACCAGGGCTAAACTCTCTGCGGGAAGGAGGTCGTTTCATGAAGATACTCTGAGGGCAACGGTCACGATCCTCCCAAAGGAAGGCAAAAACCCCATGGACTGTGCCAGGTACAGGCCAATTTCATTGCTAAATGCGGACCTTTAAATTGTTCGCTAAAGCATTGGCACTTCGGATGGCTAGGACACTGCCAGAACTCATTCATCCAGATCAGGTCGGGTTTATACCTGGACAGGAGGCCCGTGATAATACCATACGGACCCACAACTCTATCCACGTAGCTCAAACCAACAGGAAGGAGATGGTGCTGCTTTCCACCGACGCCGAGAAGGCGTTCGATAGAGTTGATTGGACTTACATGCTGGAGACCCTGAGGCACATGGGATTTGGACCTGGTCTGCGGTTGTGGGTGGCGGCGCTGTATACCAAGCAGACTGCGCGCATACGGGTTAATGGAGCACTCACTGGCGCGTTCAATATTTGCAATGGCACGCACCAGGGCGGCCCGCTGTCCCCCCTCCTCTTTGCCCTCACCCTGGAACCCTTCCTGGAGGCAGTCAGACGAGACGGGAGCATAGTGGGGTGCCGGGTGGGGGGGGGAGCATCGGGTGGCGGCATACGCCGACGACATGCTCTTCCTCCTAGAACAACCGAGAATTTCATTACCGAATCTTCTAGAGGCTTTCCGACTTTACAGTGCAGTTTCCAACTTGAAACTCAACCTAGATAAGTCAGAATTGATGCCACTTACACGAGATCCAGCCCTCCGGAGACATATCCAGGCGCACTTCCCCTTCCGGATTTGCTCGAACAAATTGCGGTACCTAGGCATCTGGTTACCGAGTGACCTAGCTCAAACCTACTCCATTAACTTTGCCCCTCTACTCACAACCCTGCAACAAGACATGAGGCGTTGGGCCCCTCAATATATATCTTGGTTTGGCCGTATAAACGCCATTAAAATGAATGTTATGCCCCGAATACTGTACCTGTTCCAGACGATCCCGTTCAATATCCCACGGAATTTCTTCCAAACACTGTCGACCTCCTTTAGGCAGTTCGTGTGGAACCAGAAACCCGTCCGCGCACGGCAAGCGATTCTGGAACGTCCCAGAAGCGCGGGAGGCATGGGACTACCTTCAATCCTTACTTACTACTGGGCATCACACCTGCACCGGCTAGTGGATTGGCATGTGGCCCCAAGCGGGAAACAGTGGGTAGACATGGAAAAGCAACAGGCTGGGGGAGGTAAAATCCCTGCCCAGCTGTGGCTGGGAGACGCCACATTCCAGGAGCTGCAAACGGGTAACCCGTTGATAGACGCTACATTGAAGGTTTGGTGTAGCATTCGATATTCCCAAAAATTTACGTCATCGCCGAATCTGCTTACGCCCGTGACTCATAACCCAAGACTAGCAGGGGGACTTTCCCCGGGAAATTTGAAGAACTTTGGGGCCACGGATTGGACCTACCTGCACCAGTGGTGCAATGGACCAGCCCTTAAACCACTGGCCACTCTACTCCAAGACCGCGGACCAAGCGTCCTTGACAAATTTCGCTACTACCAGCTCAAAACTTACGTAGCCTCGCTCGCTGGGAAGGCTCACCTTCACCGCCCACTGTCCCAGTTCGAACAACTCTGCTTAGCCAGACAGCATCTTACCCACAGCATATCGCACCTATACTCTACGCTGCAAAACAGTGGGGACCAGAGCCCCTTAGGCTTCACGGTACGGTGGGAAAGGGAAACAGGGGTCGAGCTATCTGAAACAGAATGGCAAAAAATCTTCCAATTGACGCACAAGGGGACCATTAGCTCAAAGTTTCAGGAATGCAATAATAAGATATTGTCGCAATGGCATAGAACCCCGGACATCCTTCGTCACGTCCAGGAGTCCATCTCTGGTGAGTGCTGGAGGTGTGGAGCCGCGGATGGTACCGGGATCCATATCTGGTGGTCGTGCACACGCATTGAACCTTTCTGGCGAGAGCTACACCAAGTGATTAAAGACTTTACTGGGACAGACATCCCTTTCCAGCCGTTGCCGATGTTGCTGAATCACACGAGCACGCCAGTGACCACCTACAAAAGGGGCCTCGTTATACACCTACTCACGGCAGCAAAATCGCTCATCCCCACGCTGTGGAGAAGCCCGGTAGCTCCTACCTTTCGCCAATGGGTAGACAGAGTGGAAATGATCAACAACATGGAAATGATGACTGCGTCTCTGCAGGGGCGCTCGGATAAATGTGCTCTTTTTCCACGCCCAACAGACTGACAGATACCCGTAGTCCTGACCAGCAGGGGTGTTGCACTTCCCTAACCACACGGCTATGACTATTCCCTCCCTTCCCCCATCCCGATATCCAGACGGACAACAAACTGGGGTGACTACACGGGAGTAGGCTCACAAGCTCATCTATCCACTAACCAGGCATGCAGGACATTTGGGAAACTATGGGGGGACACAAGGTAAAGGCTGGCATTAGGCCACGTAGGCACAGGGGGGCGAGGGGATTGCGGGGCTCTCGAACCTCTTTAGGGTGGTTGGGAGGGGCACATTAATGAGGGGATTCGGCCAGAGGGCAGTAGGCTAACAACGCTTCCCTGTGCACGGGGAGGTGATCCTTTAGCACTCTCAGTTAAACGCTCTTGGTCCGAACTGGACCTATCGGGTTAACCAAGTAAAATGCCACCCGATTTGATCCCTAGAAGACTCTAGCCTATAACGTTAGGGGACAGGTGGGGGTTCAGATACGCCAGAGGGCACCCTGCAGCTAATATATATCTTGCACGAACCACTACACCAGTCTAGAGGTTCGGTGGAAACCACTAAGGATTAGGGTTGGCCATCGCTAAATATAGATACGAACCCCCGCTTAACGATGTATATGGGATAGCTGCGCCTCCCACACCCCGCTTTTCGCATATATCTCATGAGTCCCTTTGATGTATTAGGATTGCGGCCACTTTTGTTGCCAAGTATCTTTGCTGTTATAGTTACGGTTATATTTATATGTAAAGATAATTTCAACTGTCCCGCTGTACTATCTGCCAACAGGGAATTAAGTGTCCTATCTTCATTGCCTATATAAAGGTAGCCAAACAAGACTGAATATGTTCTTTGTACTCTGAGACTGCCTTAATTGTATTGTATTAAATAAATGAAAAATAAAGAATGTCAAAAAAATTTAAAAAACTCACTGCTTCCACTACACACAACCACACTGCATCACCTACACAAACTGGTATCCCTATACACTACATTCCAAAAACACACACACATTAGAGCCTCTACAATAACACATAAAACATCCCTTACACACTCCACTCCCTGTGAGCGAACTCATGGTTGGAACATGTAGGTGGTCTTATGGGCAAACTCACCATCAAGCCCTGGGGCCCAGAACTTGAGCTGTGTAAGGGGCCCCCCAAAAAATGGAGCTGCTTCCCGTTCTCCCAGAACATTTTTGAATTTTGTGACCACAGTTACAAACCGCCTCCAGAGATCCTGTTCTACACCAGACCAGTGGAGCCAAACTGCAGCCAGAGCCCATAACCATCCTCATCTAGTTGTAAGTAGGTAATCTAGTATATTATTAGTGACACAGTTTCTTACATTAAAGAGACACTATAGATCCCAGAACCACTGCAGCTTAATGAAGTGGTTCTGGTGTCTATAGCCTGTCCCTGCAAACATATTGGAATGCATTTTAAAATGTTGACACATATGACAGAACAGAAAGATAATGCTGGGGGAGTGTTCCTGTAAAGTGTTGGTAGTGGGACAGGAAGCCCAAATCAATATTTAGTCCTCTATTCTTGCTGATAAACAGTTTGATCATTCTGGCTTCAAATGTTTTTCTTTCTTGGGTATTTTAAAAACCCTCTTGATAGGACTGTGTTCCTCTGTCCTATCATTATATTTTTCGTTTACATATGTTTCGTTACATTTGTGTATACAAAAAATTTTTTTTTCGTTCCTGCTGTTTGGGACTTTTTAAGGGTTAACATTCTCCCTCCGCCTTATTGACGTCACTAAATGGGCGGATCGATTTCTATGACGCTTCTATACTCACCAATTAGAAGCTTTCTTTGGTAACCAATCAGGAGCGATGTGCTCCCTTTTTAAACTGAGTGTTCCACACCGACCGGTTCCCTTCTGACGAGCCTGGTCGGGTGAAACGCGCGCGTCAAGGGCATTAACCATGCTGTTTACCATACTTAGCTGATTTTCCTTTCGAGTTGCTCCTGCTATATACCATACCAGGGGGGTTGGATTTAGGTGCCCTCGAAGGCACGGGGAGGTTATTTTTCGGATAGTTTGTGTATCCAGAATTATTATTATACTAATTTAAGGTTTACTAAGGGCATCAACTATGCTGCTTACCATACTTAGCTGATTTTCCTTTCGAGTTTCTCCTGTTATATACCATACCAGGGGGGTTGGATTTAGGTGCCCTCGAAGGCACGGGGAGGTTATTTTTGGATAGTCTGTTTATCCAGTATTATTATCATATTAATTTTAGATTTACTATCTAACCCTTCTCATTCATAGCAAACACCATAGGGAACTTGACAGTGTCTCTAGCTTTCTCTTTTTTACACAGAAGCTTCACGGCCAGTTTGATATACAGTTAACTTTTATGTAACTACAGTACCAATTTGGTGGTTTGCTACTTTTTTCACCACCTATGTGTATACTATTGAGCCTGCTAGTGTCACACTGTACATCAAGATACTGTCCACTTAGGCAGTTCGTTTGCTATAATTGTAGATTATACTAACTCAAGTTTTGCTACTCAGCCCTTTTCATTCATAGCAAACCCTATAGGGATTGTGACAGTGTCTCCAGCTTTCTATTGTACACATAAGCTTCACTGCAAGTTCAATATACAGTTAACTTTCATGTAACTTCGGTCACAACTTTTACTGGTGGGTTGTGATTTTTTCACCACCCATGTGTATTTAATTGAGCTTGCTAGTGTTATATTGTACATCAGGACACTGTCTACTTAGGTAGTTCGTTTGCTTTTACTGCATATATTGGATTTATACCATTTACATTATAGGGTCTATCTTCCCCTTTTTTCCTCCCCCCCCCCCTCCAGTTCTCAGTATATCATTATTTTGGCTAAGCACAGACGTGTGCTTCAACTGAGAATTATTAGAGGTGCAACTTTAGGATTTATTTTTTTATCTCTTGGTTATCATACCATGTTTTTCATTTAATTATTTATTATTTACTTCAGGTGTTACTTTATCACTTTATTTTTTGTGTTACACTTTGGGTGATTGCCAAGTTTTCTGGCAATTTTTAAATATTGATATTTGTTTCAATAAATTATTTTTTGTTTTCATCTTTCTCTAGCCTCATACTGGTATTATCATCCTCAGTACTTTAAAACGTGCTCCCAATACCTCCACACTGGTATACTACGCTCCTACTTCCTTTTTTCCAATTAAAAAAAGGTATAATTGCATACTGCAATACTCTGGTATTTTGTGTGTGTGTGTGTGTGTGTATATGAACGAGCGTTCTGTATCTCGTAAGAGATACTGGCGCACGCATAATTACGGCTAAGTAGAACACTCGAACACTAAGTAGTATTGCCTGTAACTCCCAGACCGGGAGCTGGATGCCACCCACCCACGGAGCTTTCAAAAATCACTGTAACTGGACACAATGATGTATTCCAACGCCACAATTCTGTTACACCATATCTCACAGTTTCTTAGTGCACCAAAGTGCCGACAACTTGTATAGCTATTAAACCACATGTGGATCTGTTTGTCATCATAATATATCATAGTGCAGGAAATTTAGTAAAGTGCTATGTGCATGTAACAAATATCATAAAGTGCTGTCAAAAAGATCTAGTATGATCTTTATTCAAAATTTAAAGTGATAGTGCTTACAGAAAATATTCTCAAAAGGATCGGTTATGGTCTATATTTCACATTTAAAGTGAACAGTAATGCTTTGTTGAACCAAAGGAATACCACTGATGGCATAATCCTAACTCTGCCCTTCTAGTGCAGGACCACAGGTCCTTAATACAAGAATTAAAGTATCTAAAGTGACAGTGTCATAATACATTGTGTGTGAATTACCTGGCAGTGCTGATTTTTTTTTTTTTTTTTATATATCTCAAAAAAATGCAAACAGCCCCTGCACTCCGACAAGAACAAAATATCAATACCTGGTGCTCTGGTGGCTCAATCATAGATAAAGAAAAGTACCGGCACTCAAGGATTTTCCGAAAGATACATCTCCATATATTGTGGAAGGTTAATCGATTTAACCTACCACAATAAATGGAGATGTATCTTTTGGAAAATCCTTGAGTGCCGGTACTTTTTTTAATATGTATGTGTGTATATATATTCACTCAGTGGCCACTTTATGAGGTATAACTTTTTATTACAGATTATGGTTCATGTTGATAGGGATAGCGTCATGCAGTCACCGCACATTTGTTGGCTGCCCATTAGTGTTGCAAATCACATGTTCAACCAAATCTCCAATGCACTCTATTGGATTGAGATGGAGAATGTAGAGGCCAGTGGATTACACTAAACCCATTGTCATATTTGTTGAACCACATTGAAATGCCATTCTTTGTGACATCGAGCATTATTCTGCTGTTTTTAGACTGTGGTCATAAAAGGATGTACATGTCAGCAGTAATATTCTGGTAACTGTAGCATTTAAATAAGAATAGAAGAAAATATTCACTGCAGCCTTCCAATACTAACAACAGCCCAAACCATTAACACAAACAGGATAGACCCACAACTTCATATTTTATGTAGAATTCTATGTTGCATCAGAATTGTCATACCTTCCCGGAATCTGTTACCAAAATCGATAGAATCATCATAGGCCACATCCCAATTGCTGCTACCTTGTGTTTACAACAATTTTGGAAATCGGCTAATACTCCAACACTTAGAGAAGTTTTGAATCTGGTTTTAGAAAATAAAATGCACAAAATGTCATATAGACAAAGCTCAAACTTATTTATGAAACTTCAACATTGTTGGGATAAATGGGAAAACTGCATTAAAATAACCCATCCTTTATAATCTAAACTTACTGTCATGATTATGTGATGTACAACAAAATATCAATGTAATAGTATGTTTGTTTATACTTTTCGTCATATTATGGATGGATATCCCTCCCTTTTTCCAGGTTCCCCTTCCCTTCCCTCCCCTGAATAGTATGTTTTGCTATTCATTCATTAGTTTGTTTTAAAAACCTTTTTAAACTTAACCAAACCAGATTTCTTCTGAGTTCTGGTGCTGGAATAACTGATTTCCTTTACCATGTCTTTAGTACTTTTTATGAAGTGATTTTAATCCAAGCTCTATTTGTGTGGTTTATGATGCAACTTCCTTTGCCATTGTAACTATGTAAACAGCGTTTTAATCATGATGGTTATAGGCTAACAAGTTCCTTTTTTTCCCCCCTTTTTTTCAGATCATGTATATAAAGAAGAGGAAGAGGTATTTGTAATGAAGCAACTATAGGGCTCCTTTAACTTCTGCATATTTATACATATCTTTTACTTTTTTTATAGACTAAGGAATTCATAAGGAGTGTGCACGTGCACACCCAAATATTCAAGGATAATGCTTAGCAAGTTAAAATTGTATGCTTTCATAATGCCTTATCTCTCAAATTAGTGGACACAAAATACTTTTTTTGTGTGTTTACTTAATAAATTCCTATAGACATTTACTAAGAGGACATTTCCTCTTATATTTTCTCCTGCACAGAAGTCACAGTAATTACCTTTTTTTTTTTTTTTTTGCAGAGTGGATCGATTAAGGCATCATCTTCTACCTTTATATACCTATGATCCTGCAGAAGAGATACATGAGGCTGAACAAGAATTACTAGGACAAGAGACTAAGGTGTGTTGGATCCCTGTCTTTCATGTGGTCATAAAGACCTAAAAGGAACACTCTTAACACCAAAACAACTTTTGCTTATTGAAGCAAATAAGCAAATTTGATGTATAGATCATCCTCATGCAGTCTCACTGTTAAAGGACCACTCTAGGCACCCAGACCACTTCAGCTTAATGAAGTGGTCTGGGTGCCATGTCCAGATAGGATTAACCCATTTTTTTTATAAATGGGTTAATCCAGCCTCCAAATCCTCTAGTGGCTGTCTCATTGACAGCCGCTAGAGGCGCTTGCGTGATTCTCACTGTGAAAATCACAGTGAGAACATAAAAGCGTCCATAGGAAAGCATTATAAATGCTTTCCTATGAGACCGGCTGAATGCGCGCACAGTTCTTGCCGCGCATGCGCATTCTGACGAAAGGGAGGATCGGAGACGGAGAGCAGGAGGAGGAGAGCTTCCCGCCCGGCGCTGGAAAAAAGGTAAGTTTTAACCCTTTCCTCTCCTCCCCAGCGCTCTACAATAGGAAACAAGACAAATATTTATTCTAACAAAACATGTATGACATACGGGAACAGGAGGTGAAGAGTGCCTTGCCCAAAAAAGCTCCCAATCTAAAGATGGCTCCCTATGGCTTAGACTTTCACAGCCTCCATGGAACAAATGGTTTCATTTTCACTCCGAACTTACAGCACATTGTGTTTGTTTTTAAACAATAATGTCAAACTTGCGGCCCGTGGGCCGAATGTGGCTCACAATGGATATATTTGTGGCCCACCGGCCCTGGGGCCACTTTGTTTTTGGCTGCGACCAGCCGCAAGACAGGAAAGATATTTCCTGTCTGATTCTTGTCTTGCCTCATACGGCTGATCGCATGCTCCCACAGACCACTCCCCCTTCCCTCCTGCTAGCAGTGCTAGAGGAGTGTCTAGCCTACTTGAGCAAAGAGAAGCAGGGCTGGAACTGGAGGACGGGCAGTTTATCTTAAGGTCCTGACGTGTTATAAAATAAAATAAAACTATTTTATTTACTCTTTAAAATATATGTAAAAACAGTATAATAATCAATAACACTAATGCGTTTCACCTTCAACAAGGCTTTCTCAAAAAAAAAAAAAAATACAACTCTCTCAAATCACCCTTTATAATCTTTTCCACTTTTGCCTTTCTCTTATTTTGACTACATGCCGTACTTTTCTAAATGCACCAATCTTTCTACAGGTAGTACATGGCTGGACAAGTGGTTATCACCAGTACAAACGGGCATCGTTGCGTGATGTGACAGCCTGACGTCTGCCACGCTGAAAAGTTTTGGACATTGTTTTGAGAGTAATGCATAGAGAACTGCTCCATTAATAGCTTCCCTAGCACTGAATTGAAGGGCAGCATTTGGTTTATAACTATTTTAAGTGCAAATGTATTATTATTAATATTATTTAAATCTAATGTCTACATACAGGTATGTACACGTATACCTGGGTTTATATTTGTACATATAAAGATGGGGCTATCTGGAAATGTATGTATAATCATAGCGATAAGTTAAAATACTTGCTCAAAAATAGACAAAACTAAAGCTCATTCAGGAATGAATAGCTGTCTATAGTCAGTACATATGATGCTGAGTACGCTGCCAATCTCGGTTTACCTGCTGCCTATTGATTAATTTTTTGTAATTAGGAAGAAACCCAAGTTATTTTATAAATAATATGTCTGATTTGAATGGTGTGTGCAATTGTTTTGTTCTTGCTGAGGAGAGTACGTATCCCATTTGTTTTGCAAATCACATTTGGGAATGATGGGACTCTTGCATGGATCTATATATAGATGTGTCAAAATGTAATGTAGAAAATACTAACCTGTTTGTTCTAGGTTTAAGTTGAGAGAGATTTGTTTAAGTGAGTATTACATTTTAGACTATAGTCAAAGGTTTGCAATAAAGGTTAATATTTAACCGTTGTAACTTTAAGAAATGTCTGCTGATTAAGGGTTGATTCCAAGTAAATAATGGTTATATACAAGAATGCTTTGAATTCCATACACATCAAGTAAAACACCAACCACAAAGGGATATGTTTAGTTATAATTTTTCTGACATGTTAAAACTAACATTTTCCAGTATATTTTTATGAATCCAATGTTAGCTAGACTTAGTTTGAAGTTGGCCATATTCATAAATTCTCAGTTGTGTTTTACATTTAGTAAAAATGCCATAGTAGTCTGAAAACTATAATATTTAATTCACTGGGATCTCAAGAGACCAGTTTTGCGGTTGTGCCTTCAGATGTGCATGGTTTTTGTTGCTACAATAGACTGTGACATGCATGCAGTGCCCTGTTGATTTGTATGGCAAATGTTCTTTAATTTGGAAGCATCAATTGTCTTTTTGTTCTTTGTCATGCACCTGGTACTTCATAGACAGATGTACAGGTGAGGTGAAAATATATGGCATAGAAAAATGTCTTTAAATTTACACTATTTTATGAGTGTTAAATTTTTCAGTTCAGTGGATGATTCATTTCACGTAATTAACATTATGTCACTAACGATCATTGTTTTCAAATTTGTTGAACCACTATCATACTAGTTCTACAATCAGTGACTGTGTGAAAATCACCAGGAGCTTTAAATAACTCCCTCCCCTTAAAATAAAAATTAATTATTAAAGTATTATTATAATATTACTATTTTGAATTCTCAGAAACAATTTGACAATATGTATGTCACACCAAATCTGTGAACAGCAGTTACAATGTTTACTGAAATGCATAATTTAATTGTGGAAATTATCCCTGATCCATTGACTTTAAGTTGATCACAGCAACAATTTTTTTTATTTTTTTTCGTCATCTAGTTGCGACAAAGGCTTTGGGTTGTTAATTGTAAGTAATGAGGAGATTTCCTCACTGCCAGCAAAGTTAATAAGGAAACAAACAACTTTTTACATTTACATACTGATACATCTAGGCGTTTGTACAAAAAATCTGGAGATTTTCTGGGACATTTTTAACTTCTTCACATCTACAGGTGGAACCTGAAATCTGGTTTTAAGTGTCAATGGAAAAACTTCAATCCACAACCCCAACAATTTGTTCATTTAAAAACCAAACCAAAAAAAGTGTCCCCTGGATAGGCACTTTTCCTCTTTATTCTTAAACTCATTGTGCATGGCTAACTTAGGACTCCTTTACATCCATGTTCCTACTTTTAAGGGACTAGTCACTATTCATTACTTTGCTTGTAACTTCTGTTAATGAGTAGTTGCTGTTTCCCTGCTGAAAAACGGCACAAGTAGCAACAGGTAGATTCTGGCTGCATCTACTGAAAGCCATTTGCCAAGTAGCAACTAGTGGCTACCAGTAATGGTAGTGACTAGTTCTTATTGTTGTACAACTTTGTCGCTACTCGTTACTGGCTGGTATAAAGATATTAACCGCTAAATCCCATTGAAACAAAAACTTATTTTTAACCCATCACTAAGTTTTACTGGCCAGCTGCTACCTGGTTGTCACTACTGGTCACACAGGGTGAAGTGCACATTCTCAGGTGTGTTTCTGTGCTATACCAGCAAGCCACTAATATGTGAGTTATTTGCTATATGAGAAATTCGCTACAAAAATATATCGACGTGGTTAATTTTAGACTCTAAAAGCTACTGGCTGTTAATAATGTCGTACAGAAAGCTTGCAGAATCTATTTACCGAAAGATTGTAAACGAACCCTTAGATTTCTTTATTCTCTTGCTTCTTTTCTCACCAGTCACTTTTATTGCTCCCTCTTTTTGCCTTTTTCCCCTTTGCCCTCCCTTATCCCTCTATCGAGTCTATTTAATCTCACTTTTATTCCTTACCCTTACTCTTCTCAGGAGGTTATCTTCTTCAGGACCCTCTCTTTCATTTAATTTCAATAGGTGTCTTCTACACTAGGTGGAAGTGCTGCACCATGACCTTTGCAGTTACCAATTCTATTATGGTTTAAGTGTTTGCTGTAAGGACTTTGCTCTTACATTTGGGTGAAGGTTCTTTTCCCCTCCTCATTGTGTGTTTGTCATATTGTATATTGATGTTCTCATGTTTAATTTAAAGAAAACTCCATAAACTTCAATTGCAAAATAAAACAAAAAAGGTGAATGAAAACGCCAATGAAAACAAAGTGTCTTCTTTTTATCTCTACTTGTTGCATGGATAAAAACAAAAAAGCCAAATAAGAGCCGTCCAATTATTGAAGGAAGAAATCCCTCCAAATTCAACATATTTTAAAAACATTTGGAGATTATAGGAGTGGAAGGTAACACTAGAGAATATCAGAAGTTGAGGTAGTCCTGGTTGTAGAAGAAAGTAATCTAGAAAAATAGAATTAAAACTGCGAAAGTTATTGGAACCATTTAAAAAAAAAAAATCTGAAATTTACATTCCTCAAAGCCATAGCATAAACAAAGTGGGGGAGGGGAGGGGGAATATGTCAAAAGTATAGAGATTTATTGTCCTCAGGAGCTGCTGCAAATTACTCATTGAAGTAGACCAACAGACTGGTAATGTCTCATCCAGAGCTTTAGTGACAGCTGATGAAACCTGTACACTGGTTGTTTTAAAGGGATTCTATAGTGTTAGGAAGACAAACATTTTATTCCTGACCCTATAGTGCCATCTGGTGCCGCCCTCCTCCCCGGCATGTAAAGGGTTTAATAATACATTATTTATTTACCAATTATTTTACTTGCGCCTCTTCTGACGTGGGCCTAATGCACATGTGTGGTGAACCCATTAGGCCCTTCCCATAGGAAAGCACTGCGTCAATGATTTTCTATGGGGATTTTACTGATGCTGGCTATCCTCATGCAGAATGTGACTACGTCCAGCGACTGGCAACCTAAAATCTGATAAAATGCTGTAAGTTCCTCGAGTGGCTGTCTAGTAAACAGCCACTAGAGACTGTCTCAGCACTACAATGTAATCTACAGTATTTAAAATTGCAGGACTAAAATGGATTGGGCCAGTGCACCCAGGCCACTTCATTGAGCTGAAGTAGTTTGGGTGCCTATAGTGTCTCTTTAAATCATCTAGCTATTTATAGACTGCATTTATCATGTATCCCATTGTACAGCGCTACAGAATCTGATGGCGCTATATAAATAATAATAATAAACATTATTGCTAGATGCCATAGGCATATTGGAAGTTAGAAAGAACGTTGGGAGCTGAAATGTCCCACAAAAAATAAATCTGGGACAGAGAAGGGGGTAACCCTAATGTTAGAAATGAATATAGGAGAGAGAGAGAACACTCTGTCTGAACTAAGAAATTAATTTAAAAAATAACTTTTAATAATGTTAAGTAGATAAAATAAAAATGCACAACTAAATAAACCTAAGATGGTAAACCTAGCATCGTAGGTTTATTTAGTCGTGTGTTTTATTTTTTTATCTACTTAACAGTATTAAAAGTTATGCTTTGGATAGTGTTCTCGCGCCTATATTAATATTTTAACTTACACACAAAGGTATAACTTTATATGTACAGTGCTATAAGGGGAAACATTTTAACTATCAATTTTAGTCTTGTTTGCAACTTTGTTGCTACATAGCACAGCCAGTATTTAGTAGCTGCTGCTATTTATTGACACGTCTCCAACCTTGTTGCTACTTTTTACTGGCTGTGTAACAGTTTGTGACTCTCACTGGAAATAATGGGAGGTTTTTGCTACATGGTCGCAGATTTTTAGTAGTGGCAGCTTGTATCTCCCCTTCGCTAATTGTGAAACTTATCATTTAGCAAACAACCTCTGGTCACCACCAGTAACCACAGACACGGTTACAAGTAGTGACAGGGTTGCAGGTTACAAATAGTGACAAGGTTGCAAACAAGCCTTATATTGCTTAAAATGGCTACAATACTTCATACTCTCTGAATACTCCCCACACAGGAAGATGCAAAAAATAATAATCTAATTAAAAGTGGAGCACGGTTGAATTTTTTTAAAATAAAAATATATCCTTTAAAAGTATTTATGCATTATTTTCCCCAAATAGGTTTAACGTGTAAAATAAATAAAACCTAGGGAGAAAAAATATGGAATAACTTTGCATATAAAGTGTTAATGAATACATAATTATATCTCATATACATTTAAACCGCTTTCTCTAAGTTAATGAAATAACTAATGTGTTAGTAGTGCTTCTGAATCAAATTAAAACACCAGTTAATAAATTGTGCACGTGCTTCTCTTCATAAAAGGTGTTCTCACACTTTCACCTCAAACTCACAACAATCTAAAGTAAAAAAGAGAGCGCGCAAAATGCATAAATTATAATAAACCCCCCCCAAATAATGCCAACTATATGTATAATTAATACTTATTGGTAATGATGGTATGTAGCATCTTATTGTATCCAAGTTTGCAAGGGAATATCTACATAAAGAAACATACAAAGAGCAGTTACAAACATACAAAGTAAATCCTGCCAACAAACTCCCACTACTCCTGGGCAGCAACAATGACTATAGTAAAGGAAAAAAAGTTACTTGCACACTGTCTCAAATACCTTTGTATATTTAAATAACTGGAGGTATTTTATTATTACTCCAATGTCCATTTAAGTGTAAGCTTTTACCTGCCATGTCTAGGCAACACCGCTTAGGTGAGTTTTACACTGACAATTCAACTTAAAGGACCACTATAGTGCCAGGAAAACATACTCGTTTTCCTGGCACTATAGTGCCCTGAGGGTGCCCCCACCCTCAGGGTCCCCCTCCCGCCCGGCTCTGGAAGGGGGAAAGGGGTAATAACTTACCTTTTTCCAGCGCTGGGCGGAGAGCTCTCCTCTCCGCCTCCGTTACGCCCCGCCGGCTGAATGCGCACGCGCGGCAAGAGCTGCGCGCGCATTCAGCCCGTCGCATAGGAAAGCATTTACAATGCTTTCTTATGGACGCTTGCGTGCTCTCACTGTGAAAATCACAGTGAGAAGCACGCAAGCGCCTCTAGTGGCTGTCAATGAGACAGCCACTAGAGGATTAGGGGGAAGGCTTAACCCATTCATAATTATAGCATTTTCTCTGAAACTGCTATAATTATGAAAAAATGGGTTAAGCCTAGAAGGACCTGGCACCCAGACCACTTCATTAAGCTGAAGTGGTCTGGGTGCCTAGAGTGGTCCTTTAAGTTTTCAGGTTAAATGTTTAATGACAGAGGGGCGTATATTTGTAAACACCCTACCCCTAAAGCAAATACAAATATACAAAATTAAGTCCTGCACTCAAACTCCCACTACTGCAAATGCCTCCCCTCCAGTTATTTATATGTACATAGGGATTTGGGGTTGTGCGCAGGTAACTTCCCTTTGTTTTTTGTGTTCATTACGATTGCCAGGAAGAAGTGGGAGATTGAACGCAGGTCTTAGCTTTATGTTTGTATTTGCTTTTAAATTACATAGCCATGTTATAGTGCTGCAATCCACCCCATCTGTTCCCTATTAAAGGTTAAATAGTATGTAGGGATATAGAAAAATACCCTCTCCGTCTCATTAGAGATTTTACCTTCTAGTTGAAAAGAGCAAGGTGGATTGTTAGAGTAGGATTCACCTGAGAGGTTTTGTCTTGATGCCGCAGGTGAGCTTACTTTTAAATGGCCATTTGAGTGATCCTAAAAAAATAAAAATAAAAAACCTCCAGTTTTCAAACCCCTTAGTGACCAAGGATGTGTCAGGTATATCCGACAAAAAACGGTCCTTAAGGACATCCTCCTGATACATCCACAGGGAATTAGAACTCTGGAAGTAATCATGATCGCTTCCAGCAGCTCTAATGGTATTGCAGTGATTCCTCAATGTTGAGGCATCGCTGCAATACCCCCTTACTGCCAGACCGCCACAGAACACCAGATGGAGCAATCACTTCCGGGTTGCTCCATGTGGAGCCCGGTAGTGCAGTGCAGATCATCGGAAGCCATCAGGCAGAGGTCGAGGCACTCAGTTAAAGTTAAAATTAAAAGAAAATGAACTCCTACCCTCCATCCCTACTTCTTTCATGTACTTACCGATCGCTGCCGTTCCCCCGCCGGCGATCAGACTTCCTCTTCTGCAAAAAAAGACCCCCAAGGGCCATGTGACCGCTCAAAATAAAAAAATAAATTATATATCTCTGTATATCCCCTTAACGACCGGGGACGTACTATGTACATCCGACAAAAAAAAGGTCATAAGGACCGCGGACATACCTAGTACCACTGTGGCAAATTGGAGCCCTGGACCACCGATCACGGTTGGGGGGACGGGGGACTGCCGGAGACGCCAGCAGTCCCCCTGCAGGTGCTCTGGCCACCCCGGCCCTCCTGGGCAATGTGATCACCATGATCACATCACTGCAATAGGAGTCTAGGAGCTGCCAGCAGGGTGACTGTCTGAGCTGTCAGACAGTCCCCCAAGCTACTAAAAAGAAAAATATATATATATATATATATAAAAAAATTATACATAAATATGTATAATATACTATAAAATAATTAAAGCATTTTATAATATTATACATATATACACCTATCAACATACTTATAATGAAATCTTATATATGCATTATATATGAATAATATATTATAAAATGCTTTAGTTATAATATATTAGACATCTATAGAAAATAAGTGTGTGGTTGTTTTCTTCTCTTCTCCTCCTGATTCCAGGTCCCTATTTAGCCTTGTACTGCAGAGAGCCCCAGATGGAATTCTTTTTTTCCTTATGTAAGTGGGTTAATCTCATAAGAGCAGACATTAGGCTGTTAGAGTAGGACTTGCCAAAGGTGGGGTACATTGATGTTGTGGCAGGCTTATGTAATGTATCATATAATGTAACTAAAGCCCCATTTTTTTTTCTAGATTAGGTGTTTTCATAAAAAAAAAATCAAAAAAATCTGTCAGCATTGAAGTTGCTGTTTAGTGGATAAGTGAGTGTGCTGGATCTTGAATGCCATTCCTGGGCTGCTATACAGTCTCAAAGGTAACATAGGCCCAGCAATACATGCTGGCAAACATGGAAAAGGGGAAAGCCCTACATTTGACCCCTGTGAGTTACACCTGTACATTGGGGGCACTGTTGTACTTGAGAGATGTTGATGAACACCTATTGAGATATTCTTTGTCAGTAACACATAACAGG